AATGATATATAATAATAATGATAAATAATATATAATAATAATGATAACAACAATGATCACAATAATAATTATAATATTCCTTTACTACTTCACAATAATAGAATAATAATGATAAATAAGTACATGTATAATTAATAATAACAGCATCAATAATAATAATAATAATAATAATAATAATAATAGGCCTAATAATAGTTTTTATTTTTATTATTCTTTAATGTAAGTAGGTTCAGAAGTAGGTATCTTGCTTTCTAATATACAATTTACAGCTGCTTCATATTTGATTCCAAATTTACTCATGATTAAGGAGGCAATTATCTAAAATCTTGACTTGAAAGCATTATAATGCTACTTATTTGTCTTACTTCAGACCAAACAATTTTCCTTCCAGTATAACTCAAAATTGGACCAGCTTTTTTATTTATATCACTTTCTAGCTCCATTAGGTAAAGTATGAGTTCTTGTACCTATAATTTACATGTATGAAATGTTTTATGCAACATTTTACCATATCATCCTGTTGAATCCATGTAAGATCGTTAATAATTGACATTACAAATTTGTTGTCACTGTGTTTGATAAAAGTACTGATGCATTCACCACTATATATTTGTCTCAATGTGGGCTGATTAATTGAACATTATTGGGATGTAAATTTGTATTTAATCTTACTTCCATTTTCTTCACTGTTTCTCGAATGAAGTCTCTTCCAAACAGGCAGTCTCTATTGAAAATCTTAATTTTACCTCTACATTTTAAATTTAAATTTACCTGTCACTTTTAGAACGGTCAAATGATGGATAGTGTGTAGTGAAATATTCTTTTCCCCATTTTGTTGAAAGTGTGAACAAATCATCATCATCATCATTGCCACAGTCCGGTGAGTTAATATAATCCGGCATCAAGTATTTTGGGTCTTTTGTACCAACTATTGATAGTGTTAACATAGATTAACAGTGTACTATAACTTATTTTTAAAATTGCATGCAATTGTTAAAAATAGATTACTTCTGTACATGTACCTGTAAGGCAGCTTACTTTTTGATAAGTCATTCAT